GTCCCATCTGGCAGCCATCAGTTTGTTCTCTGTATCTGAGTTTGTTTCCATTTTGTTTTGTTGGTTGGTTTGTTTCTTAGATTCTACATATAAGTAAAAATCATACAGTATTTGTCTTTCTCTGTCTGACTATTTTACTTAGCACAATACCCTCCCTCTATGCCCACCCATGTTGTTACAAATGGCAAGATTTCATTCTTTTTTGTGGCTGAGTAATATTCCATTATATATATGTACTTGCAAACTAACAAGTTAGCCTGCCACATTTTCATGGATGCTGGCATGAGATTCCTGGGTCAGAGATAAGGGAACTTATTTCTCAAAGCAATCATAATAGCCAGAGTGTAGCATTTTCTTGTGCCAGTTCCCATTGCCCCCAAATCTCATAGGAGGTACTCAAAAAGGGCCAGTTGACACCTGCACATTCTGTGGGTTGTGTTACAGGAAAGTAATATTGAGCCCAATGAATCTGAATTGAGCGAAATAAATCTTTAAGATGGGCAGTAAGTATGCCTTTCCTGGCTCCAAGGGGATACACTATCTTCCAAAGCTGTTTACTATACAAATGTCCTTGAAAAAAAATAGTCCGGAACAATGTCAGTCAGTGTCTCTGGTCAGAAGACAGGCAGACACATGAGAGACCCACGGAAATTGTCTCACAGTAGTGATCATGAGCAAGTCATCTAACCTCTTTGAGTCTTGTATTTTATATCTGTAAAAAATTAAGTCTCAATTAATTAATTAATTAATTAATTAATTCTTTATTCATTTAACAAATATTTGTAGAACATTTATGATGTGTCATATACTGTGCTAAGTATTGAGGATACAGCAGAGAATGACATGGTCACTACCCTCCCAGAGTGTGCCTTTTAGTTAGGAAAATAGACATTAAACAAATAAATCAAAATTATTGGTCATCAGGAAAGCAAAACATATGGAAGAGAAGATTATCCCCATTTCCCTTATTCAATCTGCACTGCCTCACCGAGTGACACTGTCCACAAAGGATCATATCTCTTACCACTTTTCCTTGATGGAGTCAGACTTTACTTCTGAGTCCTAACTAGGTAAAAGGTCAATCTAAACTTGTGGACCTGCTAGGATGTAGAACACTGTCCAAGGAGTGGAGTACTATTACTTTCCAAGATGGGCAACAGCACTGTGATAAAAAGGAGAGTCAGGAAAATAAAGCTTCTAGAATCCGCTGAAGACTTGAAAGAACAGGTCTCAGTTGACATTGACGGAGTCATTCTTTAAGAGAAAACACAGCTTCCAAAGGAGTCTTTGAAAGCAAATCTTTTGGTCTTTACTCTTAAGGAACCTACAGAGTGCCCTAATTTTTTACAATTAATTAGCTACACAAAACTTCCTCTTTTTCTTCCAAGGTCAGCCTTACCTCTGGCTTATAAAGCAATGATCATGCACTCCAAACCAGTGAGACATTTCACTGATTTGCTATCACCCTTCCTCCCCCTACATGAATATTTTTTTCTCTCCAATAGGACTGTAAGAACCTTGAAGGCAAGACCTGTACCTTACACATCTTTTGTAAACCACTTTCACTCCTTTCCTTCCTAGCAAAACCTGCATCTGTTCGGTGACACAATCTGTTCTAAAAAAATAAAAAATAAAAATAACTAGCTAAAAAAAAGAATGATGCTGTGGAATGGCATGGTGTTTACAAGTCAATTCATGGTTATTTTATTTATAAAAATTCCCAGACTTCTCTGGTTAGTCACTCTTATGGTATCAACAGAAACATTTCCCCCAAGTATTTTGTGAGCCTAAATAGATTGGTCTCCCTAGTTTCACAGATAAAAAGTCAGGTGTTAATTTGAACCAATCCCGTACTAGTACAGTACTGCTAGGAATAGAAGCAAGGAAATGTGATCCTTAACTCTCTCTTTAATCATTAGCTCTGCCTCTTTCTTAGTATAATCCTCTTGATCACAAGTCAGGGACCTTTCCAAGTGGTATGCCAAGGCTTCTGTCACTGTTCCTCCCTGGAGCAGGGGTAAAGGGTGATTAACTTCAAGGGAGAGCATGAGGGAGGTCATTACTTCTCAACTATCAAAACTTATAAATCAAGGACAGGTAACAATTCTTTGGGGAGAATGATATTGGAAGGGACTTTCAAACATGACAGCAAAGAGACCCTCACAAGTAGGGAAGAGAAAGAATCTATGACAACTGCAAAAATTAGCCCAGGCACTGAATATGGCTGTTCACTTATTAGGACTGAACCTAGGAGAACTTGGGTAGTTAATAATTCCAAACTCAATTCTACAGAGGAAAGATGATATAATGGGAAAAGCATAGAATTTGAATTTTGACATCCCAGTATATTTAATTAAGTTTAAAGTTAATATATTGATGTACCTCCTAAAAAATGAGAAACTTAGAGCACTATAACTATAATCACTTCCTTCTAGACATCTCCTTTTTTAAAAAATTGTGAAATATAATACACACAGAGATTTTTGAATAAACCTTATTTTTAGAGCAGTTTTAGGGTCACAGCAAAATTGAACAAAAAGTAGAGTTTCCATATATTCCCTGCCCTCACTCTCACACACAACTCCTCCACTATCAAAATCCCACACCAGAGTGGTACATTTGTTACAATCAATAAAACTATACTGACAAATCACTATCACCCAAAGTCCATAGTTTATGTTAGGGTTCCCTCTTGGCATTGTACTTTCTATGCATTTGGACAAGTGTATAATGTCATGTATCCACCATTATAGTATCATACAGAATAGTTTCGCTGCTCCAAAATCTTCTGTGCTACATATATTCATCCTTCCCTCCCCCTTAGCAACCACTGAACTTTTCACTTTTCATACTTTTGCCTTTTCCAGAATGTTTTATAGCTGGAATCATATAATATATAACCTTTCAGATTGGCTACTCTCACTAAGTATATGCATTTAAGGTTACTCCATGTCTTTTCATGGTTCAATAGCTCATTTCTTTTTAATACTGATTACATACAAATTTAATGCAAAAAATATTATTGTGCCACCTTAATGAAAAGTTTTAAAAAGTTAGCACCATAGAGAAACCACTACCCAGCTCAAAAATAGAAGATTGACAGCAACCTCAGTGGTCACACATAACAAAGAATACAAACTTCAGAGAATTACTTTAGAAAAGTCATTAAATAAAGAACAACAACAATAATAAAAACAGAGAAACAAAACAAAAAAACACCCTGAACATAAGAGAATCTAATTTTCAGAGTTGCCACATTATATTATAGAAAATATCCAGTTTTCAAAAAAAATTATGTGACATGCAAAGAAACAAGAACTGTCCCTGAGAAAGCCCAGGCTTTAGAATTACTAGACAAAAAACTTTAAATGAGATGTTTTAAATATACTCAAATAAAGGAACCAAGGTTAAAAAATCTAAAGCAAAGTATGAAAATGATATCTCACCAAGTAGCAATTATCACTAAAGAGACAAAAATTATAAAAAGAATGAAATATAAATTATGGAGTTGAAAAGTAGAATAGCTGAAATGAAAAATTTACTAGAGGGACTTGACAACAAATTGAGCAGGCAGAAGAAAGAATCAATGAGCTTGAAAATAAGTCAATTGAGGTTTTTGAATCTGAGAAGCAGAAAGAAAATAATTTAAAAACAAACAAACAAACAGAGTGTCAGAAACCTGTTGGACACAACCAAGCATAGGCACAATGGGAGACCCAGAAAGAAAAGAGAGGAAGAATGGGGCAAAAGTATATTTAAAGAAATAATGTCAGAGAGCTTACCAATTTTTATATATATATAAGAGAAAGCATGAATTTATACATCCAAGAAACTAAAAAAAAAAAAAACAAAAAAAAAACCAACAACAACAAAAAACCCCCAAGTAGTATAAATGTTAAAAGATCCACATCTGGCCCGGCCGGGCGTGGCTCAGCGGTTGAGCGTTGACCTAGGATCCAGGCCATCGGGGTTCGATTCCCCGTCAGGGCACATGCCTGGGTTGCGGGCTCGATCAATGACTCTCTCATCATTGATGTTTCTGTCTCTCTCTTTCCCTTTCCTTTCTTCTCTCTGAAATCAATAAAGATATATTTAAAAAAAAAAAATCCACATCTGGACAAATCATAAACTCTCAAGAGACAAAGATGTCATCTTGAAAGCAGCAAGAGAGAAGTGACTTATTAGACATAAGGGTTGCTCAACAAAATTAACAGCTAATTTCTCATCAGAAAGAAAGGAGGCCAGAAGACAGTAAGATGACACATTCAAAGTGCTGAAAGAAAAAAAGACTGTCAACTAAGAAATCTATATTCCCAGATGAACAAAAAATAAGAAAATTTATTGCTGGCAGACCAGATGTACAATAAATACTAAAGGAGTAGAAGTGCTTCCCTAGGAAGAGAAGTAGGCACTTGACCAGAAGGAAAAGGGCCACATGGCGAGGTGGTCATCAAAAAACTTTAACTTTAGAGGTGTTCCCCTTTATGGCCAATAAAGGCATTTGAAGGACCTGTGTGGCATTGGCATGGGGACTGCATGTCCCCGGGGGAAGGACTAAGCAATGCCTATGGTAATTGTGATACCCAGAGGGGATCCATTTGCCACTTTGGAACTAAATAAGAGTTCTCTGAAGAGCTCAGAGTGCCTTTTAATCAAACCAACTTCCTGGTGCCTATAGAAGAGATGGAAGTTCCACTGAATATCTTCTTTAAGAGCTAGCATTGTGGATTCTGAAAAGTGAAATGAGTACTTTTGTCACTGTCAGTAATGTGTATAACTCCAAAGGAGATAAGGAGTATTGTAGCCTTAGTACATGGAGAGACATGCATGACCTTGATTTGTATTTATGAGACAAGAGATTCCCAAGACTTTGTAAATATGTGCAGATGGGACTATTTTATTTATTTTTTTATTTTTTTGCCAAGGCATTCAATGTTAAAATGACTACCTGAAATGTGGCCATTTCAATTGTGCTGACTCTTGTGTGGTATCTTTTTCAGGGACATTCTGGTTAAGGGATGAAAAACAGCAACATTCTACTGAACTCTATCAAGTATGAAGTACAATGCCATCCATTAAGTGTATGAACTCCCACTGTTGGCCATTCAGTTGATCCTAAAGGTAGTCAAGGATCTTGGAGAGGGTTGACTTCCTCCAGCACCATGGCATCTGGCAAGTAACTGAAAATAGAGGACTCCACCCCTCTTGTAGGTGAGATCTACTAGAGAGCCCAGGTTTGGCTCCTTCCTGTGGCAGGAGGCCTCAATAGCTGTGAGGTGCTTGTAGGATTCTGCTTCCATGACACAAGGCATAATGGACAGCTGGGTATGGAAGGTCACACACTCAAGAACTGTAAGAGCCTCAATTTTCAGACTTCAGTATGTGGCCAGCAATTGCTACCCTAATGGTATATGTATAGTGCAGGACTATGAAAGACAATTTCTTGCATCAGAGGCCTATGGACAACTTATGGTCATCATAGGTGGCCTAGAGATTGCAGGAGGCTTGAAAGGAGGTTGCTAAAGTGACAATGAAGAAGTCTCAAGGACACTAACAGAAATGTTTGCTGATTTCAATTTGGAAAGATTCTGGAGCTTATTATTGGAGAAAGCCCCATTCAAGGTGGATCAGTTTGCAAGTAACAGCATCAGTGAGACTAGGTAAAATTTCTAAATGACAAATATGGTATCTCCAAAACTAAAAACAAAAACAAAACCCTGAAAGATGTTGAACTTGTATTAACATTGTGAGTGCTGAAAGGTTTAATAGCTGTTTCTTGACAGTGTCAGAAATGGAGCAGTCCTCAGTTTATCAAATAATTTTAGGAATGTAACAAAGGAGGTGGGATCTGGTACTATGTATGGAGCAATGGTCTATCCCCTTTCTGAGCTCCTGTGTGAATATTTGTATGTCCTTAATATGTGTCAAATGAAACTTCTTGGAGGAGGATGTCATCAGTGTAATGTCATGTCTGTATCCTAGAGAAAGGTGGATGAAGTTATGGACTATATGTAATGGCAAGGCTGCTGAGATACCCCATGGGTAGCCTGGTAAAGGTGTCCTTTTGGAGGCAAAGCCAAATGGTACTTGAGAAGCTTTTAAAATAGACATTGAACAGAATATATTATCCAAATATATAATAACAAAATATACAGGAGTTGCTGAGTGGATAAAATCAGTAATTCCAATAAAACTGGGTATTGGATATGGGGGCCTTAATGGATGGGACCGCAGCATTAAGGTTGCAGTTATTCACTGTGAGGCACAGTTTATTCTTGCCAGGCTTAAGAACAACCAAATTAGAATGTTAAATTAAGGAGCAAGGGGATAGTCACCCCTTTAATAACTAGGTCTTACAAGTTTTCATCCTTGAAGGCCTTGTTTTAAGTTACATTCAGCCATATTAACTACTTTAATTGGAAAATCAATGGCATCTCATTTAGTCTAGTCAATTTGTAAGTGCCAAATACTTTATTTAATTTTAATTTATTACTCATTGGGTCACAGTGTTCATGCTCACTATAAAATATTTTATGGAAATGGGCGCTATGACCATGGGAGATTTAGATAAAATAATAATTCTGAAGGTTAAGGTGAGGCATATCTATTTGTCTTCTATTTCATATTCAGTGAGTCCCTTAAGATTATAGAGGGTAACTTGTTTAAATTTAATGGGTCCCCAGGGATAACTGTAATTTGAGCCCCAGTATTGATTAAGTCCATGAAGGTTTTCCAATTGGTACATTTCAGCAAATGTTGAAATTCATTCAGAACCTATGTTGTGGAGATGCAAAAGTGTGCCTTTTTGTCTTTTTGTTGTATAAATTATTTTAGTAAATTTTGTATTTCCAATTGTGTCCAGTTGTGGACGTTTGTTTCAACTTAATCTTTTTTTCTGCAATCATGAGGGCTGAACTTTTTATTGCCATGAAAGCAAAAGTAGCAGAGTGGCACTGCAGAGCACTGGGTCCACAATTCTGCTATGGCCCCACTCTTTCCCCCACAGGGATTTCTCTTTTTCCCCCTCTTTTCTCTCTCTACAAATTGCCTCACAATAATTTAGATTTGTAGTCACAGAAAGCTGTTGCTTTCAGTTTCTGTCTCTGCCCAATTACTTATGATGTGGACATTCTGGAGGTCATTGGAAAAGGTTCAGTGGCTCGTAAGCAGCTACCTCTTCTTCCAGGAAATGCCAGTCAATCTTCCCAAGCTCAAGGTCCACATCTAGTAAGATCATCTTGTCTATGGCCTGGAGAGAGATCTATCAAGCCCCACAATCGCAAGATTAGCCTTTTGGTGTGCTGGTAAGCAGCAGCTCTAGGCAAAGCATAGACAAATTGGCTAGGGGTTATGCATTGAGAGAGTAAGTATGAAATACTCCTCATTTCTTTTAAATCATCAGTACCTGGGCTATTGGCCACCGTGGGTGTGCACATTAATATTTTGGGGGATCAGGAGAGCATACATGACAGCAGCAAGGGAAGCCGCAGCACAGGAGAAAAGCAAAGATGCTACTATCCTTGCCTGAACGATGACTATTAGGCAACTTGGGTGCCATGCTTAATTCTCCCCAGGATGGTGGTCTCCTTCCTTTCCACAAAGCTCACAAAGAAGTGTCCCCAGAGCTGTCCTGGAAATGCACAATCATAAACAAGGTTTACATGGCTGCCTAAACTAGACACAGTGACCAGAGAGCTATAGCCCCACCCTTAGTAACTGAGACTCAAATGCCAACTGGTTAAGATGCTGTGTGTACTGCCTTCACAGGCCAGAGTCTCAGGGGTCACCAGCTGAAAGCAGGCAAAAAAACCCAATGGTATATCATGACATGATATAGTCAATTAGCAGCAATTCTTGGTTTGAGGATTAGAGCATTTAGACTGGAAAGAGATGACAATACAATGCCATGCAAGCCAAAGTGCAAGACCACCAGCAATTGGCAGTTCTGTCCCAGAAAGCATTTGCCATATCATAGAACCAGTTAATTAGCTGTGAGCAATTAATTAATGCTTACCAGATGTCCTTGGTCATGGTTGGTTCATCCTGTTCATGATGCCAATTGTTTTTTATTACATCTCCTTCATTTCATTGGTGAAGGAGAGATCTTGCCCTAGGATTATGGGGATCACTAAACACCAAACACTGGACAGATGAGATTGACAGCACTTTTTTATTATTGGTTTAAGACAGAGAGAAACATCAATTTGTTGTTCTACTTACAATTTGTGCATTCATTGGTTGACTCTTATATGTTCCCTGACCGGGGATTGAACCTACAACCTTGGTGTATCGGGACAACACTCTAACCAACTGAGCTATTCAGCCAGGACTGACAGCAGTTTATTAGTCACATGTACTCACAGCCCTGAAGGACAAGGTCACTGCATGAAAACAGAGTGAATAACCAGGGGCTGTGGAAGGCAGGCTTTATAGTATCAAGAGGATGGGGAGACCTCTGGTTCTCCTGAGAAGATGCAATTGGCTTATTTAAATAATTCTGTAGGTTGGCAGAGAACTGAAGCCCACTATTCAGAGATAAGCAGGCACTGTACCTGTTCTCCATGATAAGGAGGGTTGTTTGGCTAGAGAACCTTATATGTGGAAGCAGAGGGGGGAGGTGAATTGGGGGGAGGTGAATTTGCAGTTAGGCCGTTTGAGGCACTCTCAATTTTACCAGATGTCAAGGCAACATGAAATATTAATTTTAGGCTGTATATCTTTTTTTTTCCCCCTTTCTGATTTAAAAGACAACTGAATATAGCAATCATGACAAATCTGTGTTGATGGACATACAATGTATAAAGATGTGATTTGTTTGACAATAACAGCACAAAGGAGGGGGGAGAGAATGGAACTATGTTGGAGCAGAGTTCTTGAATAATACTGAAATTAATATGCTATTAATTTCAACTAGGTTTTTATAAATTAATACGTTAATTGCAATCCTCAGGGAAGCCACTAAAGAAAACAACTGAAAATACAGTAAAAAAAAAAAAAAAAGAAACAACAAGGCAATTAAAATGGTAAACTAGAAAATAATCAATTTAACACAAAAGAAGGCAGTAATGGAGGAATTGATGAACAAAAAAGGCATGAAATATAAAAAACAAAAGCAAAATAGCAGACATAAGTCCTATCTTTTTGGTAATTACATTAAATTCAAATAGCTTATAAAAGAGACAGGGCATAACTAATTGTTAGTACTAGTTTATAAATGAAGATCAAAGAATGGAAAGATATTGAGATATGAAAAAGATTAAATTCGAAAAGTTGAATTAAAAAAAAATTCAAATAGCTTAAACACTACAATCCAAAGGCATAGATTGGAAGAATGAATCAAAAGTCACGATCCAATTATATGCTCAGACAAGAGACATGCTTTGGATTCAAAGACAATTAAGTTGAAAGTAAAAGGATGTACAGTTGACCCTTGAATGATGTGGAGGTTAAGGGCGCAAAACCCTCTCTCGTGCAATTGAAAATTCATGTTTAACTTTTTACTCCCCAAAAACTTAACTACTAAGAGCCTACTGTTGACCAAAAGCCTTACCAATAACAAACAGTTGATCAACATATATTTTGTATGTTATATATATTATATACTATATTTTTACAATAAAATAAGCTAGAGAAAATAAAATGTTATTAAGAAAATCATAAGGAAAAGAAATTACATTTATAGTGTTTATTGAAAAAAATCTACATATAAGTGGACTCATGCAGTTCAAACCCATGTTGTTCAAGGGTCAACTATATCATGAAAACAGTAACCAAAAGAGTTAGAGTGGATATACTAATATCAGACGAAATAAACTTTAAGACAAACATTGTGTCTGGCTGGGCATGGCTCAGCAGTTGAGCGTCAACCTAGGATCCAGGTGATAGGGGTTTGATTCCCGGTCAGGGCACATGCCCAGGTTGTGGGCTCGATCAATGACTCATCATTGATGTTTCTCTCTCTCTCTCTCTCTCTCTCTCTCTCTCCCTCTCTCTCCCTCTCCTTTCCGCTCTCTGAAATCAATAAAGATATATTTTTTAAAAATTATTACTAGAGATGAGGAAGGATATTTTATAATGATAATAGGGCCAATAATTCAGGAGAGGAGATATAACAATTATAAACATATACACAGTGGAAAACAGATACCCTTCCCTGGATACACAAAGCAAAATCTGACAGAATTGCAGATAGAAATAGACAATTCAACAAT